AGAGAGAGAGAGAGAGAGAGAGAGAGAGAGAGAGAGAGAGAGAGAGAGAGAGAGAGAGAGTGGAGGTAAGGAGGGAGTTGATGTACTACAGGATGGTCATTATGGGATGGCCAAAAGTGATGGAGGGCAGCCACATAGATTCTTTGACGGTGGTCTTGTGTTAAGAGTCTTAAGACTCTATATATACTTATAGTACTATATTTCGTCATAGATTTAGTACTATATATCGACTTAGATTTATCATTTTTTTATATATATATACTACATACAGTATACAGGCTATACACATGGTATGAGGAAAGGCAACTTTGTAATTCGACGGTAGGTTATGTCTTTATTGGGTGACGGAGTTGTATAATTGTTTTTTGGATAGAAAGAAGAAAGTGTTCGCGACTTGGCAGGGTGCGACACTCGATTCCTCAGCCTCATATAAGTTACAAATATAATCCAGTGTCCCCTCATCTTTGAAATCAGCTTTTTGCTATTTTGTCACTCTCTGAGCTTTGAGTTTTGAATATTGAACATTGCGTTCCTGATTGCATGTGGCATCGTACAAATGTGTGTGTCTGTGTGTGTCGTCATATTCGCTAAACACAACTCCACAAAGAATGTGTGTTTGTGTGTGTGCGTTCCTGATTGACTGTGACACTCTTTTGTCGGACTTTCACTGACTCGTGTATGTGTGTTTGTCTGTGTGCGTGGGTGGGTGGGTGGGTGGGTGGGTGGGTGGGTGGGTGTGCTCGTTCTGTGTGGGATTGTCTGACATCAGTTGAGAGTAATTTTGTTACATTTTTTTTTCTGTTCTTTTTCTTGGACAAACATCGGTGACGGGGTGTAGGAGGGATGCTGATATGAGCAGACAGCCCCACGACTGATCCCCCTCTTGAATGGCTCCGTCGATTGGTGGGGAGCCTGCACCAGCTGGAAACCGGGTCCATTTTCCTTTCACAGTATAATCAGGAGCCAGAGTATCATGTTGTACTTATGGTTATGTCGTTGTTCGAGCACTCTCTCTCTCCAGTTATACCCTATGATGGCCGTTTGGTATTCCCTTTGAGCCCTTTGCGGCTTTCCACCATGTGCGTTGTCTCTCAGCGGCTGCTGTTTGCCTCTACAGGGTGGTGTGCCCATCAGGGCCTTGTCATGTCGAGGCTGCGGTTACCCAATAACATGCCTCCCTTGTCTCATTCCTCATGTTTCCCTACCCCCTCTTGAAGCGGGGGTTCCTCCACCTTCCTCACCACTGTGAAGGCATCCTGAATGCTGTTCCCTTCAGCGCTCGCACGTTGTACCGGGAGATCCCCTCACGTCGCATGGTCCGGGTCCCGCTGCTGCTGCCGGTCCAGGCCTGCTGCTGCTTCCAGGTAGGGGTAGGGGTAGGGGTAGGGGGTGGGCGGGGGGGGGGGGGAAAGGGGGGAGGGAAGAGGTGGTGGCAGCAGGGTGGTGGCATCGGCTTTGCTGCGGGCTACTCGCACTCCCCTGGGGCAAATGGCAATCTGGCGAGCGGTATGGTGGGCTCGAACACGAAGAGGTTCTCCTGAAGGTCGCCTACTACGCTTATGTGCATTAGTCCCGCCCGGTTTTCATTGCCGTCTCTAAGTTGTCATTCTGTGTGAGTTTGGAGAACCTGGCGCCTGGCAAGTGGGGGGTTCATAGGCTTCCAACGAGCCCAACTGATCTACATTCTGCTGAACCCTATCTATGTTAAGAGAGAGAGAGGCAAGGCAGCGTTCTTGTGGGTTCTTAGGAAATAGGAGTAGGAGAATGGGGGATGGTGGGTGGGCAGGTGTAGTTGTTGGCAGGCCTAGTAGGCCATCACCCGGCCTGTTCTGCCCAGGCCGTGCCGCTCCGTGTGGTTCAACCGGAAATGCGGTTAGGTCCAAAACAGCCCCCCCCCCCCCCCTTTTTTTTCCTTTTTAATGCCTCCCTGCACGACAACGTGGCCTTGGAGGGACGTCCTCCACCGGCGCCTACCTCATTCTCCGCACCCTGCTTTTCATAGGTACCCATGATGAACATCATCATTCATTGTAGGGAATGGGGACGTGCTGCTGTCCGCTGCTCCTCCAGCTGCAGGCTGGTAGGTCCTCTCGTCGCTCCGCCGCTGCAGCCTTTTTTTTTTTTTTTTTTTTTTTTTTTTTTAAACCCCCGTCGGTGCTAGCGGTGCTGATACGAGCAGACACCGCTAGCGCCCGGGGGGACTCCATCTATTGGTGGGGAGCAACACCTGCTGGAAACCGGGTCCAGCGTCCCTTACATCGACAGAGTACAAATCTCCTGAGAAAGCWTGGTATGATCCTGCCAGCATTGATTACCCTGGAGACCAGGGGATTAACTGAGCAGGAGGTCGCATGGGGGCCCTCTTCACCCTACACCTGGTGCCAGATATCTGCTCTCTCTTCCTAGCTCCCCCTATCTAAGTTGTAAACCGCAACTCCTGCTGGAAACCGGGTCCAGCGTCCCTTGCAGCCTGCTGCTCCTGCTGTTCCAGAATTCCAACCTGCTGCAACCCAGTTGGACACAGTCTCGTACGTACACCACCGCTGCTTCAGACTGGTTGTCCTCCACCAGCTCACAGTGCTCCTCCTGCCGCACATTTTCCTCTGCTTCTTGTGTGCATATCCCCTTCTCCTGGTGCAGATTCACTTCCTCATCTTGCTTCTCTTCTTGCCACACATTCCGTTTCTCCTCCAGCATATCTTCCCCCCTCCTCTCCCCCCCCCCCCCCCCCTCTCTCTCTCTCTGCATATGCTACTCTGTCTGCTGGTCCTGTTGCTGGCCCACCTGTCCACTAGGTTGGGATGGCAGCACTACGGGCCTCGTCCTCATGCATGTGTCTCTCCCACAAGATCAGTGTCCCATATCCACCATAACCTTGGCACGAGTGACCTCTTCATCTGCATTCAAGAGAGGGTGTAGCAAAAAACTCGATGTCCGTTTCCACGTGTTTCGACAGTAGTGTCCCATATCCACCATAACCTTGGCACGAGTGACCTCTTCATCTGCATTCAAGAGAGGGTGGAGCAAAAACTCGGATGTTCGTGTCCACGTGTTTCGACACTGGGTGCCTGTCTCCACTTCAAGCTCCCTCTCTCACCGTTGACTCCTACAAACATATGTGGTGGCTGGGACTGCTGGCACCTCTCTCGGCTTGCAATTTGCGTCCTTGGGCTCCTCGCCGCTGCTGCCCTCTGAAGATGATTCGTCCCATCACCTGCCCTTTCACATTGTCAAGATCCTGGAAGTCGCTTAAAAAAAAAAAAAAAAAAAAAAGATCCTGGAAGTCGCTGCTACCACTCAAGTTGGAGTCCACAAAGTCCTCTGGAACCGCAAGATTTGGAGGCATAGCAGATCGGTGGGGAGGAAACGAGGCCTTTTAGAGTCTTCACCAACCTGCTGCTATGCCTCGTCGCCTCCTCGCAAGTGTTGTCAGTTTCCTATGCATTGGCAGGGGCCTGAAATACGGGTGCATCATTCCCCTTGGGGTCTATGAAGGGCTCAAAGAAGGATCTCCACACGTCAACGAAGCCTCCGATGCCCGTACGCTTTGGAACACACAACAGCTGCACTTTCCGGTGAATGTACACTAGCTTCTCCAACGACACGGCTGACAAACTGTTCCTTCTCATTGAATGGATATAAAGTTGATGGTGCTCAATTCCACTGCCACGGTGTTGCGGTCGTCCACGTCGTCATCACCTTGATGCTGATTGCTTGCAGCTGTCGCCGACATTTCTCCACCATGTGCAGCCCACTACCGTCTTCACCCGAATACAATGTACGGTCATTATTGCTGTATTTGGACGGAAAGAGACTCCAAATACAGCGATAGTGACCGTACGTTGTATTCGGGTGAAAACGGTAGTCCGAAAGGGCAAAACTGGATGGTGTCATCCCTTGCAACGGTGGCTCTGCATCCTCTCTCATCCTTTCTCTGCTTGTCCAGCACAGTTTGGAAGCCACAGTCCAGTCGGTGGCACACTATGTCGAGTGCAATAACAGTTATGGGAAATGCCAGCAGAACAAGTCTCACAGCCCAAGAAAAGAGAGGGACAATGTAGCAAGTCCATCACAAGTTCGCCTAAACCCTTACCGTCTCGTTGTGGAACTTGTACCGAGTCCATCACAAGTTCGCCGCCGCCTCCTCCTCCTCTTCCAATCTGCCTCACGAAGAAGTGCTTGTGTTCTGTGTGAGGTGGGATTCCTAGTTAATGAGCAAACACGGATCTCTCCCCTGCTGATCAAGGACAAACACGGCTACGTGTATTGGCTGCGTCATCATCTCCATGCAGTACCTCACGTTCATCCGTAAAATTGCCCCTCTTTCTTGCTGAGAACGGCGTCCCTCTCTTTCCTTGGTGACGATGACGTCCCTCTCTTTCCTTGGCGAGGGCGACGTTTGACAACTCCCTTGCATATCCAGTATTTCTGCGCTTCCATAACTGTTATTTCCCATAACTGT